TCCTGACTAGTACTTGTTCACACTTTTCCATGTGTTGATATGATTATTTAAATTTTAAATGATGTTAGCAGGTCATTTTCGATCAGGGCCGCAAACTGTGAAATTTGTGTTTTTGTAAAAGGATCTTTTTTTTTTGTCCAATGAAGCTTTATGCAATTATTGAAATATGTAATAATGGTGCTACTATCAAATCAATAAATACATTATTGTGGTACACTTGAGCCTGATAGAATTAAGAAGTTTGCTCAAAACCTGATGATCGTGTTTTGCAGCATAATTTGAAAAAGGATCCTAAAGGAAGCAAGAAAATGTGACTTTTTGTACAAAGGAATTCACATGATCAGTCACAAATATGCGTATTTAATTAGTGACCTTGTGCACAATCCTAAATACTTAAATGTGTCATATTTAAATAATTAAACATAGTAATTTTTTTAGTTCAAATTACAACTTTACACCTGTACACTATAGAGTTGAAACCTTGTAGAGTCTTGACTGTACATTAGGGTACTTGCTGTAACAATGATAAACAATGTATCGTATATGGTTAATGTGTAAATGGTTATAAATGTATCAAAGCCAGAAAACAATAACATTATTATGGTGATACACTGGTGCATGATAGAAATAACACCAACATTTGAACCATAGACTTTAGATTTGAACTTGTGTAGGTAAAATTCCACCAAGAAAACGGTAGAGGGAGACATTGAACTGTTTTTTGGTCTTGTATTTATGGGTTCATCCAGTTTATTGGAAAGTAAAAATAAACAGGACACTAACTTATACTTATGTGTCTCATCAGCCTTAAAGTACATGTACACTCAGGAAGTAAGGGGGGATTTGACTGTTTAACAGGGAGCCAAATATGAAAAAAGTGCAAACAGACTTCCAACTTGGAAGAACCGATAATCACCATAATGTTCTGCCATGTTCATTTTCAATTAATAACATATCTGCATATTATGTTAAAGACATACTTTTGAAGCTTATGATGAATATGCAATGAAAAGTTCAGTTATTAATAAATTACTTAATGCAATGAGTGTATATACCTTATTTAAATATCATCCCCCACTTCAAACTGTATGTCGTTTCATGTACCATGCATAAACATATTTTGAATTTTATATCTGATTGAATTTTTATGTCTTAGCAGCCCATGTATTATAGTTAAACTCAGAGCAGCTGTCACTCTGTACTATGGCTTATGAATTAATGTAGTGTTTTGTGGTGGGCTCCTGCTGGCACTCAAAGCACGTTGGCATTTCTATTTCAGTTGTGGACAGTCCTGGTCTCTTCACACAGCTATCTATTCTGATGGCTGCGGTCACAGCCCCACGCCACTGACCTACACAACCAGCTGCAAACTCTGGTTCATTGCTGTTTCAGATGTGGTAGGTCATGCTGTAGAGGCTCATTATAACATGTAAGTGCAAAGTAAAGCTGAACTCCAAAAATCACAGCTTCTGGTTTGGACAGGACAGGGATGCTAAATATAGATTTTGAGAGTCAGCAATAAAACTGGATTGAGTTCAAATGTATACACATGAGGGATACCATAGAACAGTGATTTACATTAAGATAAATACAAGGTGAGCTGCAAAATATAGCAAATAGGGAAAATTCATATTCTGGCAAGTTCATTTACCAAATATCTAAATATAAATGGCAGTGTTGGTTAGGTCAAATAATGAAGGTCATATATGATTTTGTATGGAAACTTTGTATGTAGCAGTTAATTATATTTCTTGTTTATTTTTAAGATGCAGTGGGGTCCAAAAGTCTAAATTAAATGCAAGGGAAAGGCTAAACTAAAATTAACATGAAGTTTGCTCAAGACCTGATGATCGAGCTATTCAGCATAATTTCATAATCCAAATGGAAGCAAGAAAAAGTAACTTTTTGTGCAAAAGAGTTAGCATACTCAGTGTCACAAATTTGCTTGTTTGATTAGTGACCTAGAGCATAATCTTCTTCATTTTATGTCATAGATTTAATCATAAAAAAGGGACATGCCCAAAATCCTAAACACGGTAACTTTACAATACGGTTCATTACATTAATGTTTTTACTAACATGAACTAACAATGAGCAATACATTTGCTAGAGTATTTATTAATCTTTGTTAATGTTAGTTAATAAAAATCCAGCGGTCCATTGTTTGTTCATGATAGTTCACAGTGCATTAACTAATGTTAACAAATACAACCTTTGATTTTAATAATGTGTCAGTAAATGTTGAAATTAATATTAACTAATTAATGCTGTAGAAGTATTGTTCATGCTTAGTTCATGTTAACTAAGGTATGTTAACTAATTAACCTTATTGTAAAGTGTTACCCACTAAACTTTCAATTGTCTTAACCACAAATTAGGTCAGGAAATTAGCACAATTTAAGCAAATGCACAACATAAAAAGTAATTGCTGTCTCAGAAACACATCAGAGACAGAATTAAGTTTTTTGGCAGGATATGGTAAGTTGTGTGTGAAATGATGAATCATAATGAAACACGAGTTGCATGGTGATGCTCCAGAGCGCTGTCTTCGAAAATCTGGCAAGAAATATAACAAATTCATCTCTACCACAGTGGAGCATTAAGGAAGAGGAGTCATTGTGTCGGTAACCTTTTTAGCTGCTCGTATTGGTGAGCTACTTTACTGTGAAAAGTCATTTAATGCTTTGAAAGACAGGGGAATATTGCAGAATGGCTTGCTTCCCACAAATGAAACGTTTTTATCTAAAGAGAAATGATCAGATGCCCAAATTGCAAAGACAACCAAGAAGTGGCTTGAGAACAAGTCCACCATCAGGCTCATGTTTTGGCCTATAGTCAGTGTCCAGATTTAGATTTCCACTATAGTGAATATTTGGTCTCACATAAACTTAAACTACCTGGGAAACATTTTTAAACTACTCATGAACTGTTTGAAGCCATCAACATTGAGTAAAACAAAACACAGACTCTTCTTCCTGTAAAAATCTGTAAGTTTATCCACATGGCAAACTTTTAAAGAAAACGAAAGGGAAGGCTATTCCAAGTTATTTTACCTACAGTATTTGTGCAATTCTTGGTAATTTCCTGAGTGATTTGTGATTTAAATGGTTAAGACCACGAAAAGACCACTAAATATTTACGTCTGTAGACTTTTAAAGCATGCTGATAATGTCAAGATGCTCTGTTGTTCAAATCAAAATGTGGAAGAAATGTGATCTGTGACTGATACTGAATGATTTATAGTGCCACAACTGCTGATCTTCTGGGATTTTCATGCACATCAGGCTCTATATCGAGGATGCAGACACAAAATAACAACTAGTAAGTGGTATTTTTGTGGGGGGATGCTGTATTAATGAGAGAGGTGAGAGTAGGATGACCAGGCTGGTGCAATCCGACAGAAAGGCAGCAGTGTGTGAAATAGCCACATGTTACAACAGTGCTGTGCTGAAGAACATCTCTGAACACACAATGAACATTGAAGTAAAGCACATTAGACGGCAGCAGAAAACCATTTCTTTCCAGGTTCCTAGACCCAGGTTCCAGGCTGGGCACCTGCTGAAAACTATACTACAGATGTTCCCTGGTATGATCTTCTTCCACAAACAATGAGTTTGAACCCAAATGGCATCTAGACTTCAATCCAACAAGTAATTTTGGGATGTTTCGTAACAGATCTGATACAAATGATGCTATCATATCAACATCAGGAATGTTTCTACCCCTTGTTAACTTCATGCCACTGAAAGTTGATGCATGCTTAAGTGGATAGCAATAAGGTGCATATTGATGATACATTTTGCATTAGCCTCTCCCACACAAATGCGCACAATAATGTGTTTACAGTTTGAAAATATATTCATTTGAATCCATGTTTAACGGGTGGGTCGACTGAAACAGGGGAGGCGTGGTTTGCAAAGAAATTCGATACTGTCAAAGAAGTTGAGTTTGGATTTAAAGAGATGTTGCACTCTGTCCCACATAAGGGGAACCGAGTCTCCTCTGCACATTTATGATCGTTAAATTGTATTTATGAGCATGCTTACAGATGCTTTTGGATCTATGGATGAGCATTCGCAAAACACTACGGTCAGAAGACAAGCAGTTCTCAGTAGGCTAGCCTGCTGAAATTTACAGCAAGTCTGCAGAAAATCTGAGTGATCGTTAATTCGCTGGATACAGTAGCTCAGGTAATCAGTATTAAAATAGTTTTTCTCTAAAAAAAACTTGGTTCAAAGTCTAATTAATGATTGCTTTATTATTGTTCTCTGGCAGTGTCAAATCTCATCAAAGACTATAAATACATATTAGGCCTACTTAATTTATTTTATGCAGCAGCAAAGATTTTTTTCTTTTATATTTTGCAAGCCTAATGTTTTGTGTTTGTCATCGTATGTAGTCTACATCTTATAACGCGCGTTTTTGCATTATGTTTAATTGTTAGTGTAGGCGTAGATATGTAAGACAGAAATTATGGCGTTGCGTTTTATGATAAAAACTTTAAAAATGATTTAAATTCCGTTGCTTTCCGTTTGACACTTTTTCATAGAGGTATACTATTCGTGAACAGTTCTTTTTAGTCGAATCTTTTTAATGACTCAGGTGAACCGGTTCAAAGAACTGATCTGAATCATTCGTTCACGATCGGTAATCAATCAACAACTCTCCGAAAAGTAAGTTGCTTTTAAGCTAAATATCAGAAATGTTATAAATAAAACGTAGTGGAAATATGTTTAGGCCTATAACTATTACTAAACATTCGAAACATCCAAAAAATGTTTGCCGACAAGAGATGTTAATACATTTTTTATTGTTTAACATGCAAGTAAAATATTTAGGTTTGAGTTAAACTTTTATAAGCCGAATCGTGGTTGCAACAAACTGAATGTGGATACATAGAAATACAACAGCCTTAAAATAAAACATAACTGAAATAAACATATAAACAGTCAGGGACAATGTGACAGCGTAATTACATAGTTATGTAGGCTAAAATAAGTTCTGAATTGATTCAGTTCTTTGAAATTAAGTTTGTTCATTAGACTTTCCTTTAATAGTTTTTAAACTTAAGAAAGTGTGCTCTTTGTACACTCTGTAAAACATTATTCAGCAGAATGATGTTGAATATGTAAACAAGAGCTGGGTTGAATTTTCAGAATTTTCTTCACAAGCCCTTGCCCATCTCTTTCTCTTTCTTGTACCTGTTTTATTTCTCAGCTTTACTGCCTGAAAGCTCTTCCTCTTCTCAACAGTTACCTGAAGACCCTCTGACGTCATCATCAGAAGTCATCCACCATGGGTCACTTAACCTCTGCATTACTGAGGGGGATTTCTCTCCTGCTGGTGACCCAGCGTGTGTTTGCTATGGTGTTGTTTAATGCCACAGATCTTGGCATTCTTTTGGATAAGTACCTGGAAGATGATGATGGAGACTGGATGGTGGAGAGACAGCGAGGCAAGAGGGCCATCACTGCCAGTGACATGCAGGCTATCCTAAACCTTCACAACAAACTTCGAGGGCAGGTCTACCCACCAGCTTCAAATATGGAATACATGGTAAAACATCCCTTCTCTGCTTCAAATGATCAAATTTGGTGAATAACATGTATTAGGAAGAATTATCCACTCAAATTTTGCTTTAGTTTAGTGGTAAGTGTACACATAGAACTTTGCAATCTATTTTGCATTAATTTGTTTTGCAGTCAGCTGTTACCTTTGTGGTTGTGGTATTGCATAGAAAACTATAATTTCAAATTCACAGCTTCTTCATGACGGTCTAATCCTGGCTTAATCTAAGCCCTGTCTGTGAAACCGTCTCTGGTTACTTACGTAACCTATGTTCTCTGAATAGGGAACGAGACGCTGCGGAAAGCGCAGTGGGATATCCTCTGGATGTGCCGATTGTCTGAAGCCCTATAGAATCACGCCAATCCATTGGCTGATGGCGCTCGCGCAAAGCTGGCTCCGCCCCGACGCTCTTACGTCGTAGCATGATGTACGCGCGCGCGCCATCTTCTCCTCAGATTTCTCTGCCGAAAAGAAAAACTGTCGGCAGCGCGAGGAGCTTGGCAGCGAACGCAGCGTCTCGTTCCCTATTCAGAGAACATAGGTTACGTAAGTAACCAGAGACATTCTCTTTCATAGGTTCACTCAACGCTGCGGAAAGCGCAGTGGGAACGAAATACCAAACTCGCCAAGCTAAGCGCTGCCATAACCGGTACCAGACCAAATAATAACAACCATGATAGGTTCAAGCAGATAGAACCTGGGAACCTGGAGTCATGTCAAGATCCAAATTATAGAACCTCACAAAGGTCTGCGGAGAGGACCAACCTGCCGCCACACAAATGTCTTCCAAGAGGGCCCCTCTAAAGAGAGCTTGAGAGGAAGCCACACTTCTGGTGGAATGCGCTCTGATGCTAAGAGGTGAAGGCAAACCACGCACCTCATAAGCCAGCGAAATAGCGTCCGTTACCCAGTGGGAAATCCTCTGCTTTGATGCTGCAAGCCCGCGGCGGCCAGCACCAAAACATACCAAGAGCTGGTTTGATTTCCTCCAACCGCTTGAGCGATCTACATACAACTTCAAAGAACGGACCGGGCAGAGCAAGTTAAGTTTCCTTTCTTCCTCAGAGGCAAAAGGAGGAGGGTGGAAAGCATTAAGGTTAACAACCTGAGAGCGGAACGCCGTGGAAAGAACCTTGGGTACATACCCCGACCTCGGCCTCAAGGTAACCCTAACCAGGCCAGGAGCGAAGTCCAAGCATGACTCACTAATAGAGAGAGCCTGCAAATCCCCTATCCGCTTCAGTGAAGATAAAGCTAACAAAAGAGCAACCTTAAGAGTCAGAATCCGCTCAGGAGCTGACTCCAAGGGCTCGAAGGGAGCCTCTGTCAAACCCTCCAGGACGACTGACAGGTCCCACGAGGGAACACTAGGGGGGCGAGCCGGTTTCAGGCGCCTAACCCCACGCATGAAGGCCGAAACTAACCTCAGTTTCCCCAAGGGAATCTCATCCGATTCTCTATGAGCAGCAATAGCTGCGACATACACTCTGAGAGTGGTAGCGGCCGCTCCGGAAGCAAACTTTTCCTGCAGGAATTCCAGCACTGAGCCTACTGGGCAGCTAACTGGGTTCCTATCATGTGCTAAGCACCACGCCTCGAACACCCTCCACTTGGAGGAGTATAGCCTCCTCGTCGAAGGGGCTCTAGCATTCGCAATAGTCTCCTGAACGTCGGTTGGGAGATCAAAGCTTAAAGCTAACGGCCTCTGATAGGCCAAACGTACAGCTTCCAAATGTCGGGGCGAGGATGCCATATCCTGCCCTGAAGCTGGGAAAGCAGGTCCTCCCTGACCGGTATCTCCCAGGGGGAGGATTCCAACAGAGGGATCAGCTCCGAAAACCATGGCTGGGACGGCCAGAATGGGGCTACCAGAAGGAGGCGGACTCCGCTCTCCCTCACTCTGGACAGAACCGCCTGGATCAGCTTGATGGGCGGGAAGGCATAGAGTTTCTGCATCGGCCAAGGGTGGGCGAACGCATCTATCCCCAATGGAGCTGGAGGGCTCAGAGAGAACCAAAGCGGGCATTGGGACGACTCCTGAGATGCAAAGAGGTCCACTTCCGCTTTTCCGAACACCTCCCAGATCAGGGCCACCGACTGGCGGTTCAACATCCATTCCCCAGACCTGAGCTTCTGCCTCGACAGAAAATCTGCTGCGAGGTTCAGAATCCCTGGGACATGAACTGCTCTCAGAGAGAGGAACTTGTCCTGGGACCACAGGAGAAGGTGACGCGCATGCCTGTCTAGGGTGCGCGATCGTGAACCCCCCTGTCTGTTTACATGGGACACTACTGCCATATTGTCCGTTCTGACAATGACATGGTGTCCTTCGAGGAAAGGGAGAAAGTGGCAAAGAGCCAGGAAGACAGCCCTCAGCTCCAAGCTGTTTATGTGCCACGAGAGGGTCTCGCCAGTCCAAACCCCACACGCTGGCCTGCCCTCGAAAACCGCTCCCCAGCCGGTCAGAGAGGCATCCGTCGTAACCATCTGGCGACGGAATACCGCACCCATACCGACTCCTTTCTGAAGGAAGAGGGGGTCCCGCCAGATTGACAGGGCGCGAAAGCAACTGCGCGACACCTTCAATAGGCGAAAGGCTGGCCCCGTGGGCCGAGCCCCTGAGAGCTTCATCCACCACAGAAAAGGTCTCATGTGGAGCAGCCCCAGAGGTAGCACAGGGGAGGCCGCGGCCATAAGGCCCAGAAGTCTGCGGCAGGTGCTCACGGAAACATGCTGGCCTAGTGCGAAACGGGACAGACATGTCACCAGACTGGAAATCCGTGCAGGAGCCAAACGGGCCTGCATAAGAACGGAGTCCATGCATACCCCCAAGAAAACCGTGTTCTGAGCTGGAGTAAGAACGCTCTTCTCCGTATTCAGCCTCAAACCGAGAGACTGAATATGACGGAGGACAATGTCCCTGTGGTGAGTCACCAACTCTCTGGAGTGGGCTAAAAGGAGCCAATCGTCCAGGTAGTTGAGTATATGGATGCCCTGGAGCCGCAGCGGGGCCAGAGCAGCATCCATACACTTTGTGAACGTCCTTGGCGCTAGAGCGAGGCCAAAGGGGAGGACCCTGTACTGGTACGCTTTCCCTCCAAAGGCGAACCTGAGGAACTTCCTGTGTCGCCGTACGACCTGGATGTGGAAATAAGCATCCTTGAGGTCTACCGTCACGAACCAGTCCCCCCGCCGGATATGAGATATGATGGCCTTCAGCGTCAACATTTTGAATTTTCCTTTGTAAAGAGAGAAATTCAACCGGCGAAGATCTAGTATCGGCCGCAGGCCGCCCCCCTTCTTCGGGACCAGGAAGTAACGGCTGTAGAAGCCCTGTTCGACTTCCCCCGAAGGAATCTCTTCTATCGCCCCCTTCAGCAGAAGGGATGAAATCTCCTGCTGTAGCACAGAAGCCTGAGCTGCGCTGTCGACTACAGTAGGAAAGACCCCGTTGAAGCAGGGGGGGTTGCGACAAAACTGAAGCGTGTAGCCGAGCCGAACTGTGCGAAGGATCCAAGGCGATACCCCTGGTAAACGCTCCCATTCTTGAACGAAATGTGATAGAGGCAGAGGAGTGTTGCAGTGCAAGGGACATACCTGAGGTAGGGTGTCGCGCTGGTTTCCATGGGGAGGCGCGGTTGACCGTGGAGGAGAGCGCTTGGCGTCCTGACACGTATTGGGGGGTACCACCACCTGGATAGAAGTAACTGGGTCCGCCTGCTCCAGAGGAAAAAGAACTGTGCCTCTGAGGAAGCGATTGGCGGGTGTAACGTGCACCGGGAGCGAGGGGAGAAAGCAAGATGCGTCTCCTTCCTCCTGCGCCGGACTGGGTGAAGAGAGTGAAACAGGACCTGCACTTCGAAACACGCTGGGTGGCGAAGGTGACAGGGTTGGATGAGGAGAGCCGGCTGGAGGAGGGCAGAAACGCTTGCGCGGTCTGTCCCAACCTCGTAGATCTGATGAGGCTCTCCTCCTCCTGCCCTGCGGGTCAGGAACGGCTCGAGGAGGCTGGAGCGGCCGATTTGTTGGACCGCTTCAGCTGAAGGCGCTTGTGAGGGCGCTGGCGAGGAAATGGACGACCTCGGGCTCCCCAGACAGTAGTTGGTGGGTGGCGAGCCGGGTCACTCCTGCTAGTAGGGAACTCAGCCCTATGAGCAGAGCGTTCTCGGGTTTGAGAAGGGGGAGGGTTGGAGTCACTGGGCCCTCTGACCCTCCTGGGCATAAACTGCCTGAACGCGGCCGACTGAGACTTAGCGGCGCGGAACTTGTCAACCACCGTGTTGACCGCCTCCCCGAAAAGACCTGAGTGGGAGATAGGGGCATCCAGGAGGAAACTCTTATCCTTGTCTCGGATCTCCGTGAGATTCAACCAGAGGTGGCGCTCTGCAGCAACCGAGCCCGCCATAGAGCGACCTACAGCCCGAGCAGTGTGCTTGGTGGCTCTTAGGGCCAGATCTGTGGCTTTGCGAAGCTCTTTGACAGCTTCGGGCGTCAGTCCCTCTCCTTCATCCATGTCCTTCAAGACGTCCGCTTGGTAGGCTTGAAGGATGGCCATGGTATGCAGGGCCATGCCTGCCTGACCAGCCGCCATGTAAGACTTCCCAATAAGGGAGGAAGTAGTCCTACAAGCCTTGGAAGGAAGAAGGGGACGCGCCTTCCAAGACGGTGCAGACGACGGGGCGAGGTGGTTAGCCAGCGTGTCCTCGACCGCTGGAATAGCGGAATAACCCTGCTCCACAAAACCAACAAGGTTGGTGAAGTCAGCGGCTGCCGCATTAGTTAGGCGTGCGGAGAATGGCTGCTTCCAGGATCTGGAGATCTCGTGATGCAGATCGCTGAAAAAGGGCAGCTTTCTTCGCTCTGGCCTAGAATTAGGGCCACGTAGGAACCTCTCGTCGAGTTTGGACGATTGAGACTCGCGGGGCTCATCAGGCCAGTCAATAGAGAGCTTCTCTGTAGCGCGCGACAGCACCTCAATAAGCTCAGTG